AAGAAAATAAATAATATACAAAACTTCAAAAATTCATTATAAACATTCATCATCATCATCATCATCATTACAGCTCTTCACAAGTCCACAGCTGAACATAGGCCTCCCCCAAGGAATGCCACAAAGCACGATCCTGAGCCACTTGCATCCATCGACTTCCTGCATGTCTTACCAATTCGTCACTCCATCTAGTCGGGGGTCGCCCTACCTCTCACCTACCGGTACGAGGCTGCCACTCAAGAAGCTTTTTTCCCCAACGGTTGTCGGTTCGGAGCTATATGGCCGGTCCATTGCCACTTCAGCTTACTAATCCGTTGGGTATAGTACAAACATTACTAATTGATAAATCGTAATCTATACATATAATAAAACAGTAACGAAAGAAAAACTGTAAATTGAGAATTTTCGAGAAAAAATAAGTGGCTTTTGTTAGAAAAACGTAACTAATGATAAAAAGTGACTTTTTACAATTTTTGTCTGTTTGTCTGTGTGTATGGTACGGCTTCACGCCAAAACTACTGGATAGATTGAATTGAAATTAGGCAAAAATGTTCTTTGTTTACCAAGGAAGGCTTTAGGCTACACATTGTCACGCCGTATATTATAGGAGGTAAGCAATATTGATTTTAAAAAGTTTTTCTTCGTAATTGAATGCACAAAATAATTGAATGCATAAAATACATGTTATTTATTAGTCAAAATAAAAATAAAAATTTAACTCTGGGAACATAATAATCACGCTATTTTTATAATTTTTTCCCCTCCGGAAAGCGGGGGAGGGAGGCAGTGAATGCTCATAGTATACCACGCAGCCGGCTGCGTGGTTAAGTGGAAACTTTTACCCACTAAACACTGCCTTAAGGGATTGGCTTACCGATCTGACTAGAGATCTTTGAGCCGTAAACTGACACGACCCTCCTTGGAAGAAAGGAGGGCGCAATTTTTATAAAGGAGCGGGGCAGTAATATTAAGGTCAGGCGACCGTTTACCACATTAAATGGTGCGAGTTTAAATCCCGTAATATTGTTTTGAAAAATCGTAATTTTTTAATTTTTGCATTTTTTATGTGCATTAGGAAATCTGAGAACCGTATTACACCCTCTAGCGAAATATAACAATACTACACTGAATATTTATTTAGAAAACATTTTAGCTATTTCCCAGTAGGTGACACTACTAAACATAAGGTTAAAATCCGATGTAGGCACATCGTTAATCACTAACTTATTTGTAAATAAATAGTGACGTTACTGGATAACAGAGGGCACTTATTACAATAATTTTTCTTTCTTCTCGAACAATATACTATAAATAATAACATTTAAAGATTATTTGGTAAATACACATTATTCTTACGATAATAAACCGAAATCACGTTCATTTTTTTGCTCCATATCGTGATTTACAATACTTTAATGCACAACCAGGCATTTTTTCTTTAAAAATATTTTTAAATTTATAAAATGAATGCGTCTTGACCTTTTGACGATGTCACTTAGACTAAATCATAGATTACTGACTATGTACTAGAGAGACTAAATTCTCTAGTACATAGTCAGTAATCTACGGACTAAATGACGAAAATCGGAGATATATCCTATAGGACAAAAGTTACAGATGACAATTTTGTTACTGATGTCCGGTCTATTACCACTACCTATTTAAATGTCTTTGCTTACCAAGCACATTTGTTGTATGTAGGTAATTGATTTAAGTATGTAATTCTTAGTTTTGTTTCTTGCTGCTGTTACCATATTTTTTTAATGCAAAAATAATGCACTTGTCTGTAAAATTAACGACAATTTAGTTTTAATTCATGATTTAATTAATTAATTTGGGTAAATAATATGTAGTTTCCGTTTTCTAACTAGATGTCGTTGGCGTTGATTTAGATCGCGCTATGGTTTCGGTCCCAAAAAGTGATGATGTTATATGGGCCGCTCTCATCCTATCGAAACGGCGGTTACCTTTGTTGTCTGTGTTGGTTGATGTGTTTAATTTTCCTGCGAATAATTATTATTCTACTTAATAGCAATTCTTACGTACTTATTCGATTACTTTTCATTTTCATTGTTTTGAATATCGTTAGTATCGGACTATCGGATTAAGAAATTTTAGCTACGCCTTTTAGAAAAAGATAAAATCTGTGTCGAAACTCAAGGGTTTCTAAGATGCGCAGGTTATTTCGATCTCTCGAAACCGACGCAGAGTGTGAACAACGGCTGGGTGCTAACCGTGAGCGTAATGCACTAAGTTTGTCCGCAGAAACTAGGACGCAGCGCCAATTACGACTAGAATTTAAATGAGGAAAGTGTGGAACAACGAGAAATGCGTTTAGCTATCGACCGGAATCGTCATTCTTTGTCTCGCGCATCCGAAACGGTTACACAAAGGGATTAGAGGTTGAGTCTTCAGAATATCCGCTCTGAGACTGCTCGATCACTTGAGAGCAGTCAGGAGCGTGAGATACGACTTGCGCGTGACCGAGAGCGTCATTCTTTATCTCGCGCTTCCGAAACGGAAACAGAGAGAGAACAGAGATTAAGTCTTCAGCTTTTCCGCACTGAGACTGCTCGGTCGCTCGAGAATAGTCAGGAGCGCGATACACGCCAAGCAAGCGATCGCGAGCGCCACGCAGTATCAGGCGCTTCGGAGACTTACACGCAGAGAGACTCGCAACGTATTCGCATTGCCACATCTCGATCACTTGAGAATCCTGAAGAACGTGAGACGCGACTTAGTGCAAACCGCTCACAGCATGCTCTAGCTAGGTCTTTGGAGACAGAAGAGCAGCGCTAGCACGCAACGCACTTGCTCGGCAAAGATATCACGACATGCGTGTTGAAGTGTCTGTTCATTCAACGCAAGAACGTGAGCGGATTCAGGAAATTCGGGCAAGTCAGTCAGTCGAACAGCGTGTGGCCCAAATTGATCTAGACCATATACGTCGCAATCTTCGCAATTCATTCTCATCTGATATTGAGTCTATGGTTTATGATCCTGAAGAGCAACCGTGGTTCAATAAAGAAAGGAGCGCGTTTTCCTATAACCCATTTATTAATTATATCGAACACGGAGACATTAGCACCATGTCTGAGGTTTGTGCACACTGTCGCGCGCGTAAGTGGAAGGGAGAGACTAAGGGAATGTGTCGTGCGTCTGGAAAGGTACGACTAAACTCTATGCAAGAGCTACCGGAGATCTTACGAGTTCTTTTGAATAGCGAGCATCCCAAGTCCAGCCATTTCTTAAGAAATATTCGAGCCTACAACAATGCTTTCCAGATGACTTCATTTGGAGCTCATCAAGTCACTGAATCTGGATTCATGCCGACTTATAAAATTCAGGGGCAAATCTACCATCGGATAGGTTCCCCGCTTCCCACCGAAATGCCGAAATTTTTGCAAATATATTTGCAGATTTTGCTGAACAGGCTAACGTCCGATGCCGACACATTCCTAATTTAGACTTGAGCCTTATAAGGGGATTACAAAACACTCTGCATAGTGTCAACCCATACGTTACCGATTTCAAAACCGCTCTGGAATCGGTGCCTGAACACGAGCGCGATAATTTTAAATTCATTATTAGCGCAGACAAAAGACCGACCGCAGCCCATCCAGGACGATATAACGCACCAACGTTAAACGAGGTAGCCATCCTCTTGGTTGACCAGGAATGCGACAAAAGAGACATTGTTTTACGCACACGTGATGATTGCCTACAGCGTAACAGCGAGACACATCACGCTTATGATACCCTACAGTATCCCCTACTGTTTTGTCGCGGAGAGGATGGCTACCACTTTGCTGTATACAATGTAGACCCGCAGACAGGTGTCCCAAATCATAACAAAAAGACTACCGCCTGTCAGTCCGCCAGTTTTACAGTTACATGATCCAGCTCCGTTCCAACGACAACTCTCATCTCCATTATTACCGTGCACTCTTTAGTCAATATCTGGTAGATGAATATGCCAAAATTGAAACGGAGCGGTTGGTGTTCATTAGAACGAATTAACGGAAACTAAGGGCGGAAAACTACGTGCAGCTAAGGGACGCCATGCGAGAGGACTCTAACGCGGAAAATGTTGGACGGATGGTGATACTCCCTTCCACCTTTACGGCAGGTCCGCGGTACATGCACGAGCGGACACAGGACGCATTCTGTTACGTGCGCAAGTACGGTCGACCGGACCTCTTCATCACCATCACTACCAACCCTATGTGGCCCGAAATAACCAGCGAGCTCTTAGCAGGACAGGTGCCACATGACAGGCACGACTTGATTTCTCGGGTGTTTCGGCTGATGGATCTTCTCACAAAAGAAAAACTGTTTGGTGCTACCAGGCTACGGTTGGCCTACGACTTGCCCCATGCGCATTTGCTTTTGTGGTTGAAAGATAAAATCAAGCCCAACGAGATCGATGACGTCATAAGTGCTGAGCTGCCAGATCCCAACATTGACCCCGTTCTGTAACAAATTGTAAAGGGTCACATGGTGCATGGTCCTTGCGGAGCCCTAAATGGCAATTCTCCTTGCATGAGGAACGGTCGGTGCTCAAAAAGGTTCCCGAAGCGATTTAGCAGCGAAACTCTTACAGGTGAGGATGGATACCCTTCATACCGGCGTCGATCTCCTGCTGAGGGTGGCAGTCGTGCCGAATTAACTATGCGTGGCCAGGCAGTCGAGATCGACAACAGGTGGATAGTTCCATACTCACCTGTACTTTTCAGGACATTCAGTATCCACATTAACGTCGAATCGTGCACAAGCGTACAGTCGATTAAATACATCTGTAAATACGTCAACAAAGGTAGTGACCAGGCAACGTTCGCTTTACAGAGTACTGATGCATTTAAATGTCCATTTAGAGAATGGCCAGCGCATTTATTTTGATCCTGATAACGTTGCAGCGAGATTGGAAAATCCGCGCCAAACCACTCTGTTGGCCTTTTTCAGACACTGTGAAGAGGACAACTTTGCTAGATCACTCATCTATGATGAGGTACCGTCGTACTACACGTACGACAAGCAAGGAGGTGAATTTAATCGACGTCGACCCGGACACGCCGTGGACGCGTTTCCGGGAATTTTTAAGGACACCGCATCTAAGGACAGTCGATGACATTCAGTATCCCACATACCGCGCTGCTTACGTAGCACGCCACCTTCTCGACGGTGATCAGCAGTGGGACAACGCACTTGAGGAGGCCAGCATTAGTGACAGTCCCAGTCGTTTGCGACGTCTGTTTGCCGTCATGTTGGTGTTCTGCGGTATTGCAAATCCGCTTCTGTTGTGGGAGAAATATCGGCATCTTCTGTCCGAAGACTTCCTAAGAGCTCCGAGATGCACTACTGGAGATAATACTGAGGCAACTGATGAGCGCGTTCTAAACAGTTGCCTTAGTTCACTTCAAGACATGGTCATTTCGATCGGCGGCAGTTCTCTGGTGGATTATGGGCTACCGACTCCATAACATCTGGATGTACAAGAGCGTGGAAACAGAGAGTACAACTCTGAAATAAATTATGATCCAAGAGCTATGAGTACCGTCGTCAATGACCATGTCTGTAAGCTTACCTCAGAGCAAAAGCAAATTTTCGACACCATCCTTGAAAGCGTTGCGCTCGGCCAAGGTAAAATTTTTTTCTTGGATGCTCCTGGTGGAATTCCCATAGATTTAGAGAGTAATGAAACACCTGTTTGTGGAGTGTCACGCAACAGTGACAAAGGGCACGTGCTTAAAGATTGCTCTTTAATCGTGTGGGATGAATGCACTATGGCGAACAGAAAAGCAGTAGAGGCGGTAAACAGGACTTTGCAGGACATCCGCAGGAACCAGCAAATGATGGGTGGCGTTACAGTTCTGCTTAGCGGCGATTTCCGACAAACGCTGCCTGTGGTGACGCGAGGAACTAGGGCTGATGAGGTGAATGCTTCGTTGAAATGCTCTTTCTTATGGCCACATATTCATAGGTTGCGCTTAACGATGAATATGAGAGCACAGCTTGGCGGGAATGTACACGCCCAAGAATTTTCTAATGTTCTCTTAAAATTGGGTGAGGGAACGCTACCAGTAGACAGTGGCCAGGTGGTTCTACCTGAGATACTTGGGAGAGTGGTGTCCACCTTAGAAGATTTGATTCACCTGGTGTACGGGGACATCAATAGGATACCGCACCAAGATAATTCTTGGGTGTGTGAACGAGCCATTTTAACACCCAAAAACGACGCTCCGAAAAAACGAAATTGAGGGAAATAAAGTGATCTACACTTCAATAAACACTGTGGTCGACCAAGATGACGCCACACATTACCCCGTAGAATTTCTCAATTCCCTCAGTGCATGTGGACTGCCAGCACACACCATTAAGCTAAAGGTCGGTGTCCCAATTATGCTTCTTCGGATTCTGACTCCGCCAAAACTGTGCAATGGGACCCGGCTCAAAGTCGTCTCGCTGCAGAGAAATATCATTGAGGCGGGAATTCTAGCGGGTTGTGGTGTCGGCGAAACTGTGTTTATACCATGTATACCACTGATTCCCCACAATTACCCCTTTCAATTCAAGCGCGTGCAGTTTCCTGTGAGCGTGTGCTTCGCCATGACAATAAATAAGTCTCAGGGGCAGACACTGAAGGCTGCGGGTGTCGACCTCAGGACGAGCTGCTTCTCACACGGACAACTGTACGTCGCTTGCTCCCGCGTCACCAGTCCTGACTCGCTGTACATATTGAATGAGACCGAGTGAAAAGCAACGAACGTTGTTTACACAGAAGTGTTACAGTAAATTACAACACTTCTGTTATTGGACGTCACCAAAATTTCCTTATTAACCTGACGTCTTTTACCAGTAAATTAACTACATAACTTTCAAATTTTGAGTTTACTAAGCTAAATAGTTTTTGAGGTAGGTATCTAAACTTTAGTATAAGTATGGGATGCGTATTTTGAGTGTTTCTGTAAATCTACAAACTATCACTAACTATTATTAAAATAAAAATAGAATAAAAAAATACTTATGCGATACGTGGGCAAAGCCACGTGTACAGCTATAGTTTATAAAGAATTTTTTTGTAGTGCATTCCGCACCGGATCGGTGAAATATACGAGATGAAAAGTTTTTTGTTGTATGGGTGTTAATTCTAGGCAACATATAGCCTATAATTTATTTTGGAAAATGAAACACTGATTCAGAACCGCAACAGACCAGCTAAAGTATAAGAGATATAAAAATGGTGCCATAGCAAAAAGTATTCCACGTGAAGAGTATTTTCTGCTGTGAGAATAAATTTGAAGATCTGGAACACCTGTTGTGGAACTCCAAAGCCCAGCGAGATTATAACATATATAGGAATGACATCTTAGCAAAAGTTGTTTAGTATGATGGGTATTTCCTGTTGACTTACAAAAATGAAAGATCTGGAACGTCTCGAATCGTCTCGCGCATCACGTTGTTTTCCCGTCCCCGGGGTCTTTGAATTCGATTTTGATGACCCCATTGTCGCTGGCATAAGCAACAGGATCCACGTACGAAGTCGCGGGCAGAAGCTAGTATTCTTAATATCTTAGTAAGAATTAAATAATTGCTTGATATTATACATAATCTTATAATACGCAATAGTATAATAAGTCTATTATCTATTATATTGTTATAATATTTGTATTTGATTGGACATATAAATAGTACCTGGATGACCGAGATTTGCTCTGTATTTTTTTGGAAATCGTGTGTTTCGGAAATTATATTTATATAAAAATTACATACTGATAAAATATGAATAATATTTTTTATCTTACCGACATAATAGAAAAACCGAAACTGGTTATTTGAATAAAAAATCATGAGTGCAATTAGTTTTATTTAAATTTTTGTGTTTTTAAATAAATACTAAAAAAGGGCTCGAAACAATAGATTTTCTCACAAAAGAAGGGAACTTGAAAATAAAAAGGAAAAAAAGTCGGACCGAAGACAGAACGCGAACCAAGGCATAACGATTGCGCGACCTCTCGATATCCACTTGAGCTATTATGATCACTAACACAGAGTCAAAATTTACCTTTATATTGTAGCAGTTTTTCATTGCCTGAAAACACGGACAAAAAGACATTTTCTAAAAATAAATCCTAGCTAGATCGATTTATTGCCCCCGAAACTCTCTGGATACCAAATTTTATGAAAATCATTGGAGCCGTTTTCGAGATTCCGATTATATATATATATATATATATATATAGATAGTCTGACAGAAGTAATTGATTCGTGCGATTTTTCAGTAAATATTGAGACCGTACCGTGAACTTGACGAGCTGGTAAGACATATAAGTGTATAAGTAAAGTCGATGAATGCGATTGGCTCAGGACTGTTTTGTGCTTAGAATATTAATTTAAAATGCACAGAAACCACATGTAGAGCCAAACACGGCTGTTATCGAGAACCAACTTCATTTTCTTAGTGTGAATACGTTCATTTTCATTACACTCACACAAAAATGCAATGTGAATTTTAAGCGGAAATGGTGTAACAAATATTTTGAAGCTGATATGTACGACTAAATCTCAAGTTTTATCCGCTAAGACGATTCGAGATACTATTGTTATCAGTTGTCGGCTGGGCTTAACAAAGCAAGTTAAAACATAGAGATTTTATATACTCTTTGGAATTAATTTTGCTGTCGTCAAATCTCTTAAAAATTTCGCAATATGACAAATCAGTATAATGCATTTGCATTGTATATGAGCTGTGAGCGCTATTGTCTGACAGTAATTACGTATATAAAGTAAAGATGAGCCGAATATGGATTTCACCGAATACGAATATTCAGCCGATAGTTCGGTAAAACTTTTATCGAACCGAATATTCGGCCGAACATTATTCGGCAGTATCACCTCGGTAACTAACCAATTTATGTCGAAACTTGTTACCGTAAAGCGCGCGGGATTAACGCCAGACTCTGCCCCTCGCTTCCCCGCCACACTTGACATTTTATTACATCATTTAGTACTGAGCAAATTGCCGGCTTTTTAGTGAGAAAATAAGTATTTCGTTGTGTTATTCTTAGTGAAAATTGATAATAATATGATAAAAATGAGTGGCAGGAGATCTAATATTTGGACTGATTTTAGAGAAAACTATCGACCAAAGTAAAGTGAAACTCACTAATGTAATGTAATGTTTCTTAAAACATTTTATCAAGCTTTCTGTGTGATATAATTGGAAATAAATCTATAGGGACTCAAAAACATAACGCTATGCAAGTAGATAGACCATTAAAAAAATACTTTCAACAGTAAAATTATGAAAAACATCATCATCATCATCATTACATCCCTTCACAAGTCCACTGCTGAACATAGGCCTCCCACAAGGAATGCCACAAAGCACGGTCCTGAGCCACCTGCATCCATCGACTTCCTGCATATCTTACCAGGTCGTCACTCCATCTAGTGGGGGGTCGCCCTACACTACGCCTACCGGTACGAGACTGCCACTCGAGAACTTTTTTCCCCAACGGTGGTCGGTTCTTCGAGCTATATGGCTGACCCATTGCCACTTCAGCTTACTAACCCTTTGGGCTATGTCGGTCACTCTGGTTTTACTACGTATATCCTCATTTCTGAGTCTATCACGCAGAGAAACTCCAAGCATAGCCCTCTCCATAGCTCACTGAGCGACCTTGAGCGTCCTCATACGGCCAGCAGTGAAGGACTACGTCTCAGATCCGTAAGTCATCACTGGCAACAGCATCGGTTGTACAATCTAGTTTTCAGAGTTTGAGGTATACCTGACGAGAAGGTGTGTCGTAATTTCCCGAACGCAGCCCAGCCAAGTTGAATCCGTCGATTGACCTCTCGGTCGAAGTTGGACTTACCTAGTCGGACTATATGTCCCAGGTAAACGTACTCGTCAACAGATTCGAGCATAGTGCTCCAACAACTACCGGCATAGGTGTAACATGGACATTAAACGTGATTTTTGTTTTGTTCATGTTCATCTTAAGGGGATATAGTGAGTCAGCTCAAATTCTAATTTCGTCCCCACTTGCCCGCGCGTCGTATGCTATGTACCGACATGTTTGTAATCACTAATACTATAAGTAGATAGGTCGTTAGACACTTATTTCATTAGGTTTATCATATTTATGCCTGTTTCTTAACGCCGAGCCAGTCGCTTCTTATTTTTATTACGGTCATTACCCATTTTAATTTTACGTCGTCCTGTTGCGTAATGTATATTCTGATCGTAAGCGACACAACCTCCCCTTTCGAAGCGAAGTGACCGTGCGGCAGGAATCACGCTTTATCAAGCCGATAGTTTAGATAATTTCTTTTTACAGTGAAAATAATGGTATTTTAAAAAAAGTAAATAACATAAGCACTGCTTTATAGTTAGTTCAGTTAGTATGCAAAGTTTCATGATCTTATTTAAAGTATTTTATGAATAACAGCGGTTTATTGTTTATTTTGGAGGTAACTT